ATGAGTACCGGTGACAGGGTCGACGGAATCATTCGAATGGTTCACTCTATGATTTATATATCCCAATTGCGATAATTGGCTATATCCCGCCCATTCATCTGTGTGAATGGTGGTGCCTGGTAACACTAGATGCTGAATAATAGGGAGGAGTGTATCAGCACTCCTATCTAGAATCAGCTCCATAAACCCTTTGCGAATCTAGGTGTCATAAATTCCTAAAACCCAAACGTTATTCGCTCTGGCACTCAGTAATTGGACAGAAACAAGATATTCAGGCAAAGTTAAACTTTCGACACCAATAACAACCAATCATCAAAGACAGTTTCGACTTTTCAAAGAAAGTTCCTAGAAGACAATTAATTCAGTGTCACTTACCAGTATGCACAATTATTCGCGCTAGAATAATGGTGAGCTTCCTCAACCAATGACTAGCATGCGTTCAGGGTCATTGGAACATTTACAATCCTGGGACTCTATTGTTGAACTTCGCCAGTAATTAAACGCCTTAACCGTTCTGCCATTGTTGGATCAAACAGTAGCAGAACAGTTACGGATTATTTGCTTAAGGTGGAACTGTGCGCTAGTTTATCATCATGAATGGCACCAATTCAGCACCTTCTTCTTATTCTACGCATTTTCAGAAGTAGCTTATCAGCCTTATTGCAGCACTTCTAGTCCAGGTTCTGCTCCTCCCAAGCTTACCATAATGCTGAATTAAATCTCACTAATTCTGAAATAATTCCAACGTTCTATAGTAAGTAAATTCTGAATCTGTTCTTAAATAGACTCTTTAATGTCACAGTCTAGAAATCAGCTTTGGTTTTCAGCATGACTGACACTAATTCAACACCATGTTCTTTTTCTAGACATTTTCAGGAGTAGATGAGAACCTACTGGTTTTGCTTATCAGCTTATCAGCTCGGATTTGGTAAGTGATTCCAGACAGATGTTTTGTGATGGGTTGCACAGTTGAGTGAGGGGCACAATGCTGTCAAACTTGCTCTGTAGGTCTGCTATTGATTTCTGAAATATCAGTAAATCATTTTTGCTACGGGCCGCATTCTCTGTCAGCACCTTCATGATATCAGATACCATAACTTGGTGTGTATCTGGTGTCAGAGTGTAAAAGCGTCTGTGGAACTGAGGTCTTCAGATAGTTGACGAGTATCAGACCTCAGTCGCTTAACGGTACTTACACGTTTGACAGACTTAACCATTAGAGAAACAAGAATTTTCACCATTTCCGGAAAAAAGTCTTGAGGATACAAAAAAGGGTTGCTGTATTATCGAAGTACGAGAAACAACGATAAACAGCTATATATTGGAAAATAAAGTCATACTTTTCTCTAATAGTACCGCCTGGGGACAAAATCCTTCGTTCCACTTGGTTAGAAGGGGTGTACGTGAGAAGACTCCGGGTTGTAGATTCCACAGGTGACTACTGTATATAGATCCAAATGACACAATACAATCCTTGTTAAGTATGTATATGTGGATATTGTGGAGAAAGCGGTTAGATTTGAAAAGAATGTGGAAAGATGACTCACGCAAAAACAGTACACTCGTAGCGCAACAGTGTGAAGTGTGCTACTTAACCATATCAGGCTGAACTCTTGGTGATCACTTGGAATGAATACTGCAGTGGCGGATCGTCGGTAAATGTGCAAGATCCAGTGAACTGAAATAGTTGATTGGGTATGGAATTCATAATTTTTGTCTGCTTTTGAAAAGGCATATTTTTGGTTTGATTTATCGGAAAGGCATGTGGGGACATATTCGTTATTTATGTAGAATTCACACGTCATTTGGATCTATGCATAGCCTTTACATGCTCAGTTTTCAATTGTGAGGCTTTATCAACGGAAACCGAAGTACTTTTATAATAGCTGCAGAATTAAACATTAGTGTTGATCCTTAACAAAAGAAGAGAAAAAATAAGGGTTGCACAGATGTAAATTATTTAGAAAAATGCTTTTGCGCCTACCATCTACAAGCGTGCTTAGCTTCTTTTCAAGATGCTTCCCCATGAGACATCTTGTAGGTCAGCTTTTCCTATGGGTTCTAATCTTCCAGATCTTTGAATTCACTTTTCACTTAAAATCACTCATCTGCCTCACGATAATCCTTTTATTCACGCACTGTTATGCTCTATTTTATCTTGACTAAGTAGGCCTTTAATGAAGCTACGACTTACTCTCTGTTGATATGTGTTGTTTGTTTAAAGTCTGGTTTCTTTGATGTGAAACACAACAACACCAGTGTTTCAGCAGAGCTATACTTTCAGCGATTCTGGCAGATATTTTTATGGGTAGTCTGGAACAAACAAGGCTGAAATCCGCAATTAGTCAGACCAACTTCTATACCAGGTATGTCGATGACACTTTCGTTATTTGTAATTCTTTTGATGATGCATCTCAAGTACTAAAAGTCTTGAACAGCGCCCATCCTAATATTAAGTTTACAATGGAGCATGAGAAAGAGGAGAAGTTCCATTTTCTTGACAGAAAAGAGACCTGGAGGGCGGTTTATCTTAACTTCAAAAGTTTCTGCCCTATAAGTTACCAAAAAGGATTAGTGAGAACACTATTTGACCGTGTAAGAAAGCTGTGTTCAGAAGAAAAGATTGAGGAAGAGTTATCCATTGTGGAGAAATGCCTACGCGAAAACGGTTACCCACAAAAGTTCATCGACAAGTATGGGAGACGTCATGTTGAAAAAGTGAAAAGCAGCACAGTAGAGAAAAAGCCCATCTTTCTGCAGCTTGCATTCAAATGTGATGATACTGCCAGTAGAATAAGATGCAGACTGAACGCTACCCTGAAAAGAACATATCCAGCCGCCAAGCTTGTATGTGTTTATCAAACAACTAGTTGTTTGAGACAATCAAAGTGGACAAATACCC